CACCCGTATCGCCCCGGAGCACACAAAAAACCGGGAGATGCCAAAGGGAAAGTGCCAGAGAGGCCCCGGAGCTGGGTCAGGACGAACAAACCCGAGGCAGAGCTCTCGAGCAAGAGAACCGCGGTTTTGCCACCGCCCAGACGTACCTGGAAGCGGGCGAAGCCAAAAAACTGTCTGCGCACGGAGCTGCTGGAGCTCCGAAAACCCCCCCCCAGCGGGTTTGAAAAGCAGGGAGGGTCCCTCCCCGCTGCGGGATCACCTTCCCGGGAGCATCACATCTCTGGATAGGAATAACCGTCAGCTCCGAGCGCGTCCTTTGGCGCGTGCGTGAGTAAAACCCTCTGGAGCCGGGCCAAGCTCAGTGCCTGGCACAAGCAGCGTGATCTGGCGTCACAGAAACCAAGAAAAACGAGAAAATTTAGTGAGGCAGCAGTGCCAGCTCAGAGAAAAGCAAGTGGGAGCAAGAGACAGGAAGAATCGCAGCGCTGAGCCGTCCTCTCCCTGATTTATGGCAAAAAAAGCCACTAAAAGGGAGAGCCGAGGAGCAAACCGCAGCAGAGGCACCCGTGCTGCTCCGGGCGCAGGGAGGGAGGTGGATGCACAGCTCCCGGCTTCGTCCCAGCGGTGTGAAAGAACTCAGGCTGCCCGTGTCCCCTTGTCGTTCTCGTACGCAGAAAAATCCACGTGGGAAGGGCTGGGAGCGACCCCAAGGCTCAGCACGACTCGCTGCAATCGCTTCTTCCCCACCAGGATTGCGGGGAAGATGCAGGCGAGTGAATATTCTCCTACCCTGCGCTGATCTCACCCCAAAGCCACGACCGGCCGCAGAGCGGGACCGGCCAAGCCCCCACGGACTTACCCCAAGCTCACCCCCGAACGCCCGGCGGGGTACGGCTCACCTGTGGCCAAAGTCCTTTCAACTCACCCTCTCTCTCTGCCTGCTCTCAGATTTCTTAAAAATAAAATAAAGCGTCAAAAACTGTGTTGGATGCGCCTGGCCAGTGCCAGACTCACCCCCACCCTGTGGTTTAAAACCCCCCCGAAGTCTGGGAGAAGCACCCAGTGACCCAGGCAGGGTTGGGACCCCCCTAAAGAGGGAGGGGAAATGTTAAACCCCTAAAAAGTCGATGGGGAAAAAGAACCAAATGGAGGTCCGTTGGGTATCGCCCTCCTCGCTGGTGACACAGGGAGCTGAGGCAGTTTGGGCTCCGACGCCGAACTCCCTCCACCTTCCTCCCATCTCCACGGCACACGAACCCGCAGCCGCACACAACGGGACCGAGAAGGTCAGCTTGAGTCATGGCCCAGGAATAACCCCCAAATCTCCGCCTACGGTGGCTCTGAGCCCGGAGAGAGGCTCTGGGAAGAACTAAGGCTTCAGTTTGAGCCAGGGGTGGAGGATGGTGAGGATGGAGAGGATGGAGGAGGTGAGGCCGCACAGCCCCACAAAGCCCGGGCTGGTTTTGTACAGCCCCAGCTTGTCCAGGGGGATAAAGATGTCGCAGGCGTTTTTCACCACGTCCAGGAGCAGAGGAGGGTTGTTCCGAAGGACGTGGATCAGAAGCCGGAGCTGGATCTGCAGCCTCAGCCCCAGCTGCTGGAGCCCATTGTCAGCCCGGAGCTGGAGCCCATTCCCGCTGCCTTTCGCTCGCTTCCCGCTCGCTTCGCGCTCCATCAGGACGCGGATTTCGTAGGCGTCCCGGCTCAGGTTCACGACGAGGGCAAAGAGGTAATACCTGAAAAACAGGGGAGAGGAATAGCGGGAGAGCAGAGAGAGAAAACGGTGCTGGGGACTGCGGTCTGCGACGCTGGCAGCCTCCAGCTGCTTTCCCTTCAGCCACAAAAATAAAACGCCCGTGGGAAGGATAAGTCCATGCTCTCCCGAGAGCTGAGCTGGGCCAGGCTGCTCTCTGCCGTCGGCATGGCACAGGGAGGCGAGAAGCCCTGACATGTTGTAAGAGTCAGTTCAAAAATCAGCTTGTCTCAACCTTGTCATTAAGGACACAACACCCCCAGTTAGACTATAGGGTCCTTTCTTATGGATTTGATACGGCCTGGGAGCAAGACTCATCCCGACAGGCCTGTTGCAGCAAAGTTACGATACCATGAGAAAATCTCCAGGGTAAAATACAATTGCCACTTTCTGAGACAAAGGTGTGGCTGGCCTGTGAAGAATTTGTTTCCCCAGCAACGCACCCTGGTACTGGTACAAGATGGATCGATGGGGGATGGAGTGAAACGGTCTTGCTCCACGGCCCTGCCCTGTCCAAGACTCTCTGTACCCCTGTAAGGACAGGAACAATGAGCTGCAGGTGCCACAGCTATCCAACCAGAAGGATGGCAGACACCGTGCCAAGAACTGCGACGAAGTCTTCACCCTAAGGTGAACTTTGCTCATTATAATACCAAAACACACCTCCATCCCAAAGGCTACCCACCTCTGAGGTAGAGGAGGAGCAAGGTGTGTAGTTTAGCATAAAAGCTCATCCCCTAGCAACCTAAAGTTGAAGCCTTCCCCACCAAGGATCGATGACGATCGTTAGGACTGGCGGGGCGGTGCTGGCTCCAGGCCCAGGGGACGCCTTGGACCCGCGGTGGTAGCTATAGTGTTCCTCTTTTCCTCTCTTTACTTACTTTTCACTCCCTTTATCTATCGCACGTCGCTTACAGACACAAAATAATAAAGTTTTTGCTGTTTAGCACGTAGAGATCTCAGCAAAGAACCATCACGAGTCCTCAGGGGACCGTGACGCACGTGGCACCCGGGGGGAACTCAGCCCCCTCGGTCTTTACTCCGCGGGACAGCAGAAGAGGCGAGGAACCCGCTCTCTCGGGGAATCACCTCGCCCCTCACCTGAAGGCCCTCTGGCTCCACTTCTCCTGGTCCAGGCCGTGGAGCAGCCCCGCTTTGCCCGCCCAGAGGACGTTGTCGCAGGCCAGGTACATGGCGGGGGTGAGGTGGCTGAGGGGGAGGCAGAACCGCAGCACCATGTCCGACAGGTGGATGGCCCGTTTCGCCGCCTCCAACGCCTCAGCCGAGCTGCCCAGGCGCAGCACTGCGGGACAGACAGACAGACGGTCAGCGGGGGGTGGG